CATGCATTTCAGGAAGGTGCACAGTGATTTTCCTTGTTTGGGTGGTCCATGCCTGGAGCCACTGGGCCCTGAGACACACAGGGTCTCTCCTAGGCTGATCTGTATGTGCTGTTGTCTTCTAACAGCCCAGGTGCAAAAGCCTAGCTCCCTCCTCTGCCACACCTGGATGTAGTCAGAGTCAGTCTGTCACGGCAAGTCCCCCACACCATGTACAGAGGGACCCACTCACATTCAGATACCATGAGAAGGCTGTGTGTCTTCAGCTACACCCACCAACAGAGGATGGTTTCTATTCTGCTCCATTTCCTTTCCATCCGTCTCTCATGTGATTTTAAGAAATGGAAGACAAGGAAAGGAGGAATCAACCCCTTTTCTTTTTTTTCCAGTTCCCACAAATAGGATTCCTCTTTTTTAAAATCTCTGAAGACATTTTAATGAAGTGGTCAGAAGTCACTGTAATCCTCTCAAACTCGGTCAGAGCTTCCTGAGGCTTCGTTAGCCAAAGCACAAGGAAATCAAAGTTATGGAGAGAGGCACCTCTCTCCCTTCCCAGGAAATGTCTACACTCACAGTGTGGGGTGAGTAAGATGTCCCACGTGTGCTCTCTGCTTCCAGGGGACACTAGCAGATCACAGAGCCCCACACAGCTGCTTTAGGATATGGATTCCAAAGCCTTCCTGGGGTTTATACACTCCTGAGTGCCACAGCAGGAGGCAGGAGCTTGTTACCCTTTAGCCCACAGCTCTGAACACCTCCAGCATGCCTTCCAAGTCTCCACGAGGACATGAGGTGCAGGCCCACAGGGGCGGGGGAGAGCCTCGAGGATCACCAATACAGGACTCACTGTGGCCTGTCTGCCAGTCTTAGTGGTCGCTTCATCTGTTTCCTTTTCTTTGGGTCATGACAGCTTGTGTCACAGGGCATTAATAGGTGTGCACTTGTGACTTCTTTCACAGGGTTCAATGCTATGTCTTCATTTCTTTAGCATCTATGATCCTGGACACCAAAGGACCTCAAGGATTTTAAAGGTAATGACACATTCTTAAATAGTAAAACCGAGACTGGCATTGTAGCGTAGCAGGTAAAGTGCCACCTGCTGCACTGGCATCCCATATGGGCACGGGTTCATGTCCCAGCTCCAAGAACTTGGGCCATCTTGTACTGCTTTCCCAGGTTCATCAGCAGGGAGCTGGACCAGAGGCAGAGCTCCCAGGTTCAAACTCCACTCTAATATGGGATGTTGGTGTCACAGGCAGCAATCTAATCTGTTGTGCCACAATAATGGTCTCAGGATGCTTTTTAAGGAACCAATATTCTACTAAGGAGAACATTTACTAATTTGGGTCCTGGGGTTGGAACCAATTTAAATTGAAAGTTAGAATATTATGAGGGTACTTTAAAGAGCTCATGGAATCATAGAATTAAAAGAAAAGTTTCTATATATATTATACATATATATATATATATATATGAAGTTTATTTTGGTATCAAAAAAAAATTAGACAGCCATGCCTAGTGTTTTCACAATACAGATTTGCCATGAACTGTTCTGAAGCACCCTTGTCAGGTCTGGCAAGTATGTAAGTTCAAGGTTGATCTGGAGGAGCAGGCATGTGGCCCTGCCCTGTCTGTGAGAGACCACAGACAGAGGGATCAAGAGGGGCAGAAAGCCAGCCCTAGGTACACTTGCCGCAGCGTGGGGTGCAAAATCGGTGTTACTGAGTTTCCTCAGGCGACGGCTTCCTCTCCCAGTGCAAGGAGTGGTCAGCAGCCCCGTGGACAGGAGGGCAAGGCTGACGGATTCTGGAAACTCCCTGTGTTCACTGATGGAATGCTTCCAGGTTGCCGACTCTCCCTCCATTGCCCTGTCTTTCTGTCCTGAGGCATGGGGCATAGGATCGGGGCAGCTCCAAAGCACTGCAAGTGCGGCATGAAAGGATGCTGCACAGGGTTGGGAAGAGGCTGACATGGTCATTGGTCTACGCCGAGGGCCCTCCCCCATAACTGCACAGTCACAGGCATGGCCAAGCTCCCACACAGGCAAAGCCACCGTGTCAGCAGCCGCAGCTCCCATCTCCCAACAACCAAGTATGCTGCGAGCCCTAGTGCTGAATTATTGGGCACTTAATAATCACTTCAAAATTTTTATGTATTTATTTTTATTTACTTCTGTATTTTCATTTGAACAGCCGAGTTACAAAGAAAGATCTTTCATCTATACTGGTTCACTCCCCAAATGGCTTCAAAGGCCAGAGATGGGCCGGTTTGGAGCCAGGAGCTTCTGGATCTGCCAAATGGATGCAGGAGCCCAAACACCTGGACTATCCTTTGCTGCTTTCCCAGGTGCATTAGCAGGGAGCTGAATCTAAAATGAAGCAGCTGGGACTCAAATTCTAGCCATGTGATGCTATGGATGCTTAACCTGCTATCCCACAGCACCAGCCTATCTTTAATTATCCTGAGAGAAAGAAGCTGATGCGTTCAGCACAGGGGTGGATTCAGCAGCAAGACAACCTTGTGACTGTTCCTAGCCCACCATGCGGGGTACCAACAGCCACAGCAGACACTTGCTGCATTCCAGCCCAAAGCATGTCTGGGTCTTACTTCTGGTGTGTAAACGTTTGCTGCATCTCAGCAGTTTTTGGGCTCCCGAGCACAACTTATTTGTAACTGCTATGAGGTTACCACCCCAGTGTCTGGGCACTGCCAGGAGTGAGGGTGTCACACAGATAGACCAGGATACAGGCTGAAAGCCAGGGTCCCTGACTCTGTGATCCTGTACTCAGTGTAAGCTTTTCTCTCTTCTTAGGTAACAGTGGCTCCTGGAGCCAGCCTTGTGGCGTAGTGGGCAAAGCTGCAGCCTAGAGCACTGGCATCTTATATGGGTGCCTATTCATGTTCTGCCTGCTCCACTTCTGACCCAGCTTCCTGCTAATGTGCCTGGCACAGCAGTAGAGGCTGACTCAACTGCTTGGGCCCCTGCCACCTACATGGGATGAAGCTCCTGGCTTCAGGTTGGCTCTGCACTGGCTGATGCAGCAATCTAAAGAGTGAACCAGTGGATGGAAGATCTGTGTGTATAAATTTTCAAAATAAATAAACCTTCAGCCCAGAGGATTTGGTCAAGACGCAAATTCTCGGGCTTTCCCTACTCCTACAGAATTGCTGATGGGGCTGTTGGCAGGGGAGTCTGGAGAAGCAAGTGCTCCTTGTGCTTCTGACACCTGCCCAAGTCTGAGACCCGCTGAGCCAGAAACAAGCCAGCTGGACCTGGGCCTGATTCCCCAGGCCTCCATACAGGAGGAAGGCAGACAGACAAGTCCCAGCTCTAATCCAAGACTCAGGGTTTTAAGTGGGGTTACAGAATCCTGTTGTGTCTTGTGCCAAAGATAAGGTGCGGGGCTTTGGCCATGTCTTTGGCCATTCAGCTAGAGCCAGGGCGTGGCTGAGATTCCAGGGGGTAGAGGGTGTCTCCTACAGTGAATGGCCTTGTCTTTGATCCCAGAAGGCAGCATTTTCAGCAGTCTCCATTGCCAACTTCTAAGCTCCAGAAAGAGTGATCCTTGAACACTTTGTTTGGATGAGCTGTTTTTAAAGACTCCGAGGCTGGGAGGGGTTTAAAGAGAACTTGGGGTAACCCAGCAGAAGCAGGCCCTGGGTTTTAGGGGGTCCAAAGCTTATGTAACTTTGATGGCTCTATTTAAGAACAACAGGACATATGTTGTATTGTGTTCATAAACACCGAGCCGTGAGCCAGGTCCCTGGCCATCCACTGAGATGCTCCAAGCTTCCCCTCCACCTGCCCCACGCCAAATGCAGGAAGGATACACTTCCTCTCCCTAGGCTGTCGTCTGGAGCCTTGTCCTGGCTGTGACTGGCCTACAGCGGCTCAGAAGCTAACTAGACAATTCTTAGTAACTCTTCCTTGACTGTTTCTTTTCCTTTTTCATTTGTTGTTGCTGTTGCCTGCAGGTTGCATTTCCAGGTTACATGAACCACCTTAGAGGGAGAGAGGGGGTAAGGGCACCTGGCTTGATTTTTCAGGCTCAGGATGCGAGCTGAGGTATCCCCCAGTGCCTAGTTAGGCAGATTCTTTCCAGCAGGCTCTGGTCCTAACACTTCCCCCATCTCTCTCCCTGCCCTCCTTTAACCTGCTCCTCTTCCTGTCATTTCATCCCCATGCTTGAACTCAGCCAGATCTAACATCTCATTTCTGTTCTTTCCAACATGTAAAGACAGGACCACCTGCCCAATCCAGTACATACAGGGACTGTTGGCAGAACCAGATCTCTCTCTCTCTCTCAGTACCAACAGCGCCTAATCCTTCTTCCATCTGTCCCAAACTGAACCTATGATAGCAAGTCTCTTTTCCTGTGTGAGTAACAGTTATCTGAGAAATCCTCCTGAGGGCTGATAGAGCATAGGAGCGCCAGTTCAAGTCCTGGCTGTTCCACACCTGACCCAGCTCCCTGATAATGTGCCTGTGAAAGCAGCAGAGGATGACCCAAGGGCTTGATGTCCCCCGCACCCACGTGGGAAACCCAGATGGAGCTCCTGGCTTCAGCAGGGCCCAGCACTGGCAGTTGCAGCCTTTTGGGGAGAGAACTAGAGGCTAGAAGATCTGTCACTTTGCCATTCAAATGAATGACTTTTTTTGGAAAAGAAATGAAAAAGTCCAACTGGAAACAGGCTAAAATTCAGTTCTCCTGAGTGTCAGTTCCTCTCTCACAGGCAGGCAGGAGAACCCACGAGTGGGCATTCCTGATGATGGTGGGACATTGGCACTCTGCAAGGCTCGGGAGCATTTGCAGAGGCTTAGTGTAACCAGCAATCCCCCCTATACTGGGTGGTCCCACGGGTTCTCTGACATTCCAGGGCTTTTCAGATCCTCATTTGGTTCCAAACCTTGGTCTGGAAACCAGAACTGGTTGCAGGTGCACATGCACCATGGCTTGTAGTTCCTGTACCACACCCTCCCTGGCCCACCAGGGCGCAGCTACCTGAGGACAGCAGGCTCCCGCTGCTGCCGCTGATGATCTTCCCTTTGCTTCCCATGTTGGCCAGCTTCGAGGTCTTCAGCGTGCCAGTCTCAGTCAGGTCGATGGCGATCTCACTCAGGCTTCGTGCTGCATGGATTTTGGACTAGAAGGGGAAGACAAGCAGGTTATAGGGGGAGCACCCCTCTTGGAAATGGAACAGTAACCAGGCCCCTGCAAGTGGTCCTGAGTTCAGTAACTTGGCTGATGACTCGGACCTGTGGAGTTTTTTGTTTGGGTTCTTTGGCCCAATTACCCATTACCCACACTCCTGGCAGGGGCAGAAGTGGCTTGGGGCTGGCAGTGTGGAAGAACTGCTAAGCACTGGCTCCATGGGCAGCACTACACAGGCCTGAAGAACATAGGTTTTGCAGGGCTGACACTGGGAAAGCTGCTGTCACTGACTCGTGTTATTCCCAAGGATAACACAGGGAAAGTGCCACCTGCCACCGAGGGTGTGGATAGGGGTCCAAGGAAGCACAGCATGGGAAGGATGCCCGCCCTCCCTGTTCTAGCCTTTCCTTCTCGTGTCTTCTGCCTGGCACGCAGCTCTCACTGAACAGCTGTGCTTACAACTAATTTGTGTTTAAACATGGAAAGACATGATTTTCAGGGTTTTAAAAAAATTATTTGAAACAGTTACAGGGAGAAGGGGGAGACAGAAAGAGGAGAGAGAGATCTTCCAGTTGCAGGTTCACCCCAACATGGCTGCAAGGGCCAGGGCTGGGCCAGGCTAGAGCCAGGAGTCAGGAGCTTCATACTGGTCTTCCATGTGGGTGCAGTGGCCCAAGCACTGTGGCCATCTTCTGCTTTCCCAGGTATGTTAAACAGGGAGCTGGACTGGCAGTAGAGCAGCTAGGACTTGAAATGGTGCCAATATGGGATGTTCACAGGTGGTGGCTTAACCTGCTGCACCACAATGCCGGACCCCTAATTTCCAAGCTTGAAAGATATGGTGACATCAATTCAGGAGTGACTCAAAATCTCTGAAATTGTGAGCCATGAGGTTGTAGAAAGCCTGGGGCACAGGGTGATGACACTTTGCGGATCATGGTAAATGTGGGCAGGGGTCTCTGCCAGTCTGCGGCTGTGGATCCTCAAGGCCCACCCAGTGCTTGGCTTCCATTCTGACACCTTGATGCAGATGTGGCATCTTCAGGCTGCGGGTCAGACTGCACGGCATCTTGTGCAGAGACGAATTGGCGTGTCTTGGCAACTGGTCACAGCAGGTGAGAATAATTAGGGAAGGATGCTATGTTACAGTGCTGAAAGCCGCTGTTTCTCAGCGAAGCCATCTGTGTCACTTACTGCCTTTGGTAAGTGAAAACGTGCTTCTGTTTCCTGTTTCTATTGTTTTGTATTTTGCTCTTTTTTTTCCTTTTCAGGAAATAAACTTTTTTTTTTAATTATCCTATGTGCTTCCCAAGCGCAACTCAGAAGGCTAGTACAAAGCAGACTTCAACAAGCTTATGGGAAATAGAACTAAACGATACGTTTGCTTGGGTGCCCAAATTTTTGAATCTGCACATATAAGGATCTTCAAAAAGCTCATAAAAAGTCCATGTTATGAAAAAAACTTAAACTGTGTACATTTAAAAATGGTTTTGCAGCAAAATAAACTTCTTTTCATTCCATTTTCATTGTTTGGTGTGAAGTTTTTTTGAAGGACCCTCCTGATACCCACCCCCCCCCCCCATTGCTCATCTGTGTTCTGGGTGCTCCGGCCTGCCGTGCACACACTAATAGAACTGGGGGAGCACACAGGCAACATTTCTAGGTATTTCATGTGCTGCTCACGCCTGGGCCACACAAGGGAGACACTGGGCATGGGAACACAAGGGGGTATATACTGCTGCCCTGCTCTCTCTGACTCAGGGTCCCTTCGATGAACTCTGAGACTCTTTCCTTCCTCTGGCCTCTGAGTTGTTGTTGTTGACCATGGTGGTGAGTGTCCAGGACTTCCGGTCGCTAGTGACAAGATGAAGGCCCGTGGGCCAGAGGGGATGCTGTTGTGTTCACCTGGCATGAACTGTCTTCTTCCTCCTCATCTGTCTCCCTTTGATCTTTCTTCCTTTCATGCCTCCTTTCTAACCTCGGCTTCTTGCCTTGCATTCAGAAGCCAGGTTGGCTTCTCAGACTGGGAAACAATGCTGGCTGCCAGGCCCTGGAAGGATTTTGGCTTGCGGTAGAAAACAGGAAGGGCCTTTGCTTGCATTTCCACCCAGCGTCTCAATAGCACCAGCCAGCTTGAGCCATTCTTCTTGTTCTTATATTGCCCAGCCAAGTGCTCACCCAGGGGACAGCCCGTACTTGCATGGCCACAGGGTGCCAACTCAGGCAGACCTACAGCCCCCAGCAAAGGTGGATACCCACCCAGGCTCTGAAGGTGGAGTATACTGCCTTAGAATTCCGGCTCTTGCCCAGGAATCATTTTGCATCTTCATTCTCAACCTCCCTCCCTGCCTCCCCCTCAGAATCTTGTCTGCCAAATGGACAGCATCCACACACCATGGAGTTGTGATGAGGCCTAAATTAGATAATATATATATGTAAGGGTCATTGCCACAGGAAAAGGATGGGAGTTTGGACCTAGCTGTAATTTATTAAATGGGATTAGACGGTTGGTGCTAACCTGATCCTAGAGAGATCTCATTTATTACCTGGAAGGTAGGCCCCAACTCATGCCAAACATCAGTCCCACGGACAGAGCATGGAAACACACACCAGGACACAGAAGCGTGCAGGGTGAGGGCTGTGTCCTTGCCAAGCTAGGTCTCTGGGAGCCACTGGGGAGCTGTCTGCTCTCACCACCCTATCCATGTTACTCAGCTTTCTCACCAACACGCTGCGAGCATGCTTATACCATCCCCTCCCATGCTTTCCCGGCCTCTGCTCAGAGTTCAGAATGAACAACAAACCAGATTAAGGAGGGGTAAAAAAAATAAAGATTCACAAGAAGAAAAGGTGTTTGGATTGGGGCCAATTTGAGAAGCCCCCACTGTGAGTTCAGAGGAAAAGCAGCTAGTGTTTACTCTAAATAATTTGAGCTTTCAAAGCTTTCCCCAGAAGGACATGACAGGCCTTGGCTCCGGGCTTGGGAGGAGGCGGGGTCTCAGCTGAAAACCTTTCTGATCTCTCGGGTGAGTCTATGTAAGCAACTGATGCCAATTATTGCGGGTGCAGCTTCTCTTCCTGAATGAACCACAAGAAACCAACCTTGGCTGCCTCCCTCTGCTCTGCCCTTGGCAGGAGAGTGGTCCCTAGATGACGGAGGGAGACACACTGTGTGTGCGCACGCATGCGTGCATGGGACAGGGACATTTTCTTAGCTGATTGACACACTGACCCTGAAAGAAGAAAATCACAGAGTGTCAGAGGCGAGCCAGAGACATCTTGGCTACTGCCCTTGCTGACTCAAGCCACTAGACCACACTTGTCTCTGCGGAGTCGATAACCATCGCTTGGGAGGCTGGCACTTGGCTGTTGCACTCGGGAGAAAGGAATGGTTGGCACGGGCTGGTTCTCCAGAGTGTGAAACCAAGCCAGGACACTAGCCCACACGGACTGCCCAGAAGTACCCTGGAGTTTCCCATCCCAGGCCTGTCAGCAGACGCTCACTCAGATCCAAAGCTGCCTGGAGGGGAGGGCTCTGTCACCTGTGTAGGGACAGCAACTTTGCAGAAAGTGTTGTTATGGAATTTATCATGGAATTTCATCACCATTGATTTAATCTGGGGGCCTCTGAGAGAATTCAAACATGGTGTAAATGGTGGGCAGGGGAACAGTATTTTAGATGCATCATGACATTAATAACAGCACAAAAACATAGGTGCAGCTTTGGCCAATTAATAATTTAGATTGAATGTGGAAGGCAATTCCTCTTGACAGATCAAAGGCCTTTGTGCTTTTGGGAGACTGCAAAGCTTCCTGGGAATAGTTCTCTCCCTATGGAGTATGGGAGTTTTCATCTGTCTTCCAGGGAAACTGAGGGACAGCTACACCTGTCCCCATCTTGTGGGCACCTGGTTTGAGCTCAGGTAATGCATCGTGCTTGTGTGTGATCTCTGTGTGCTTGACTCTCAGTCTAGATGGGCTGAGCTGTAAGCCTGCTGAAGAAGGCCTCTCGGGGAGCGAGGCACAGCATCACAGGACGCCTACCCAGCATTCACTCACCCCAGAAAGCCACCCCATAGGGGGTCAGAAAGCCTCAGTGGAGGAGGGAACACATCACCAAGGCCAAAGTGACTGCCCCCAGTTGGCAAGCGCTGCTCTACAGGTGGAGGGATGGTGTCTGTTCTCCCTCTTCTCTCACTCTTTCTCCATCCTCCTCCTCTCTACCTCCTAACTCCCTCCTGTGACAGACCCAGGTAACTGGAAAGAAGAGGGGACCAATCCAGGCCCAGGAAGTGCAGAGTCCTGCCACTTCCTCTTAAGAAACCCCCCATGGGTTGGGGGAGTGAGGAGCCAGGACCTGGTCTCGCTCTGGATTCTAGCAGGATCTGAAGGGAAGCACAAGGCCCATCTTGGCACGACTCTCCTATGGGGTAATGAGGAGGTGTGGCTTGGGAGGGTGGCAGTGGAAGGGGCGGGTGGGGAGCAGACGCTGCAGGAAGAGGGGGCAGAGTGCCGACAGAAGCCCTGTGTGAACCGGGCAGACGTCACTCTCCCACCCACCTGCAAGAGCAGCCGTGTGTGTCTGGGCTGGGGGCCTGGACGTCTCCCAGGGAGGAGAGCTGTGTTTATCCAGGCCCCAGGCTCTAGGTCTGCCTAAGGGAAACAGGCTTGCTGGGTTTTTTTTTCTTTCTTTCACTTTTCCAGTTTTGCATATTTAAAAATGGAGTTGGCAGTTGGAAAAGCCTGGAGCGCTTTTTTTTTTTTTTAACAGCAATTACCTTCAATAGTTAGGTGATGTCTATTCCATGAGGATGGTTGCTTTTTTTTTTTTACTTTTTTCAAAAAAGAAAACAATACGCCAGTGTTTCAACACCAAAAAGGGCTTGGCTGCTGGCTCCCAGGAGAGTCTCCTGGAGCTTCCAAAGCACGCGTGGAATTCCGATTGAGGTAAGTGGGCTGTGCAGCCCTCACCAGGGCTAGCCTGGAGCTCTGGACCAGACTGCTTGGAACATGTGCCCTCTTGAAAGATGTTCCCTCTCAGAATACCCACCTTCACTTCCTCCCCTACCTAAGTCCTGAAAGGCAAGCCTGGACCCATGCACATCTCAGGCCAGGGACCCAGGCTGCCTCCCCATCCATCCGGCACTCATCCTTAGGTCTGCCCATGGCTTGCTGCGAGGTCAGCTCACTCACCTTACTCTGCTTCCTGTCCAGGTAGAACTGGTGTTGGCTAATGGCCATAGCCCAGATGGACTTGATCAACGCTGGACAGGCATACCACGTGTGCACAGCAATGCCGCTATGCCCGAATGTCCTCCTTGTCACCGAAGCCCTGAGAAAGGGAGAAACACCGTCAGGAGGTCCAACCAGGTTTGTGATGGCAGAAAACACTTAATAGTCTTTCACCAAGAGTCCCCTGGGTCCTCAATGCCTGTGAAGGTGACAGGTGAGCTCCACATCAGTATGGGTGGATGCATGCTCACACACTGTCAGCCATGGCTACCTGTGCTTTTCTGCCTAAGAGAGGTTAGAATTGGAGCAGCCCCTGCGTGGCCAGGGATGAGAAGGGCCTGGATGGTCCTTTTTGAGCTTCAACTCCTGGCCCTAGGACAAGACAAATTCCTGAGGCAGGAAAAGTCTTTGAGGATGCTCTTTATCAACCAGGCAACGGAGTCCACAGCAAAGATGAGGATGCATACTCCGCTTCACCACAGGCCTCTGCATCTGAGGGGAGCAGGACCCCCCACATCCCTCACACTTGACAATTCTGGAAAAATGTGGTTATCAATTTCAGCATCCCCAGAGGCAGGGAGCAAGAGGTAGACTCAGCAGAGGGAAGGCAAAGAGACCTGCCGATCAACCCAAGATCCATCCACACCTTTATAAACTTCAGAGTATGTGAGGATGGAATAGCAATGAGTGGTCAGACTTTGAAGATGGGGCACACTGGTGTTAACCTAATTCATCTGATTAAGGGAATTTTGTGTATGTAGGGGGCAGTTATACACCCATCTTCCCAATGAAGCATAGTTTGTGGGCTATACAGATTAAATCTGAGAATAAAGGATATCTGAGAACGTGTGTTGGCTTGTACACCCTTGAGCTGTTTCTGTGTGTGTATGTGTGTGTGTGAAAGAGAGAGGGAGGGAGACAGAAAGAGGAACGAGACAGAGAGGAGGCAAAGGGTAGTTGGGGAATTGAACAAGTAGGTTAGAAGAATCATGTGTTTCTAAGACTTATGAAATCTAATTTGAAGCCATCTGGGGGAACCAGGACTTAATGACTGGTAGCATTTTCCTTTTCATGGCAAATTTTCTCTCCAGGACCATTTTAATCTCCTACATTAGATGTTGAGGGTTAAAGACCCAAAAGGTTTTCTCTACTTTGAAGGAGGCAGTCAAATCCAGTGGCTGGCTTATGATGCTGAGCATGGCCCAGGAGTAGGGGTGGGGCAGTGGAGTGTTCCCCACCCCTGGATCAAGCAGAAGCTCAGGGCAAGATGCTGCACCTGGACGGCAGCACTGAGGTGCAATGGCCCGGGAGCCTCGGTCTGTGCCAAAGGCAGCTGTGTTCTGAGCTCCCACTGGGTTCCCGAAGCAACTGCTGTGCCAGGGAGGGAACAGAACTTCTGTCTTGCCCCAGCTAAGCTGATTCTGAGGACAGGGGATGCAGAGTGGGTTTCAGTAAGGGTGGTGCGAGCTGCTGCCTCCTGGTATCCAGGTGAGATGAGTGAGGCAGAGCCGGGGTGCCTGAGGTCAAGGCAACCTAAACCACAGCCTTGTTCCCTCAGAAACTTCTCCCCTCCCCTTATCCTTCCTTCCAGGTCCTTCCCACCCCACTGACTCTGGACCCAGAGTTTGGACATGGACCTTGTGTGCCAAGCCCAGAGAGGGACAGCAACAAAGGCAGGAGTGGAGTGAGGCCGTGCAGGAGGACCTATGCTAACCTACGTCCTGTGTTCTTGCAGGGAAGGCCAGAAGCACTGCTGTGTCCATCAGCCCAGGAAGCACCCTCAGCCCTGGTGCCTGCCACTGATGACATCATCACTCGGGGATTATGCCTGACTCCCCTCCTGGCTTGGGGAAGTGGCTGAGTCATGAACATCCCCCACTGTAAAGGGAATGAGATGAAGGTTTCCTGTTCCCAGCAGGCAAAGCTGCAGCAAGGGGATGGCAAAGTACCATGGGATTGTGGGATCCAGTTCGCACAGCGACCTGCACTGGGAATTTTGCCTCTGCATCACCCAAAACAACACCCCATCCTTGTGCGTCAGGAGCGAAGGTCCACCCAGGTTCTTCCCTGGGCCTCTCCCCTCGCCTCCAGCACCCCTCCCTGCCTGCCCCTAGGATGACACACAGCTCTCTTGGGGGTGTTCTCCCACTCTTCTCCTTCCTCTACACCGCACACTCCATGACCTGTGCATCTGAGTTGAAAAAACTCAACCCAGATCACCTTAGCCCAAGTCAAGGCTTTGGTTTTAGTCACTCTTTGGGGTTCAGCGCAGACAGCTTCCTCCTAAGCAGTGACTCCTGACCCAGAGGGGCTACCATTCAGGGCTGGGCCCACCTGGCAGTTGGCACACATTGAAGCGAGTGCAGCAGTAGAACATATGGGCTTTAGAGGTGGACTTCTCGGGTTGGAATTCTACCTCTGTCAGGCACCAGCACTGTGTAATCTATAGCAGGTCACTGCCTTCCTTGTGCCTCAGCTTCCCACAAGACTAAATGGTCACCTGTCTCCTGTGGTCACAGTTAGCAGGGTGACAACAGGCAAGCAGGTAGCCAGCAGTTCCTTCTCCCTGCCCAGGAACCTGCCCCTGACATCCTTCAGTCCCTTCCAGTGCCTGTACACTGCCACTCCTCCCCAGATGTGACACTAAGCCCCACAGTAGTGAGGGATGCCTGCACCCTTCCCTATACTTCCAGCCTTAACGGAAGGGCAAAGGGGATGTAGCATTCCACCGTAGACAGCTTGATACATGCAGAACCCACGCATGTACACACACACACACACACATAGCAAAAAGGATTTGTCCCTGGTTCTACTGAGTTAGCAGAATTCCCCAAGACAGCACAAGCAGGGAGATCCTGTCTGTGTCCATGTCCAACCCCTGGCCTGGCCAATTCCTACTTCATTGTCTTTATCTCAGCCACTGTGACCAAATGCATCTCACTCTCTTGGCTCTCAAGTTTCCCCTCCTTTCCTGGGCCTGAGTCTGCTCTAACACAGCCAGCCTGGGACACGCAGAGTAGGTTCCTGCTTGGTTGCCGGCTGCCTTTCAAAAACCTCTGGGCAACAGCAGGCATGGGAGCCCTGGGACAGGCTGGACAAGCTGTCAAGCTTTGTGCAACCCACTCTGCAGGGCAGCAGGGCAGGTCCTGGGGTAGCTGTGCAGCTGGGATAAGCCATCCTCCGGTGGCTGCTCCCTGTAGATTACACGGCAAGGCAGCAGGCTTGGGCTCCACTGGGTTATCACAGGTTGCAGGGACTGTGGTTCAGGAAACAGGTCACATCTCACCCTCATGCCCAGTGCTCTCAGGGAGGCCCAGCAGCTGGCTGTGTGCACTCAGAAGCCATGTGTAAGGGGCAGTGGATGCCAGCTCCTGTCCCCAAGCCCAGGGCTGGGCATCCACACTCCCTCCCAAATCCTCCCAGCTCCTCCATGGGAATGGGACCTCTTCTCTTTCCTTCCAGGGCTGCCTTCAGAGTTTAGAGCTATGAAAAGGGATTTATTCTTAGGTGTTGGCCCAGGATTTGGGAGTTCTTCCACTGTTTGTGGGCCGGCAGACAAAGAGAGGGAAAGTGAAGGGTACAGGCTGTCCAGAGCTCTCCCACACGGCCTTGCCTGCTCCCTGCAGTCCAAAGCAGGGCTCCATTGTCTGGCATCCTGACTTTGGGTCTCAGGGTTCCATACAGCCTGGGGTGGGGGAGAATGACCGTGCCTCTTTTGCACCCACCCACAATATACTGGGTTCTAAAATTACAGCTCTGGGAATTAACAGCCTGGTCCAACTGCTTCGGTGACAAGCTCCTTGGGCAGGCTGACTGTCCTGCCTGGAGCACTCTCAGAAACCCTGACGGGGAGTTCTTTAGCCATTTTCCTACAGCATTGTGGGGCCAAGTCCCAGGTTCCTTTAGTGCTGGTAAAGAAGTGCCACAAAACTTTCCCCACAGTGCCCTAAAATGTAAGATACCCATGCGTGCATACACGCACACACCCAGTGTGTTTATCAGCAGAAGTGTAACGCAAAACTCTTCTATGGGAGTTGGACTCAGTTCTCCAGCATTCACCATCCTCTCCCACTCACCCCACACCAAACGTGAACCGTGACAGCTCAAAACAATCAAACGGGACTCCTCTGGTCAGCCCTCCCCATGAGCAAAGCTTACCTCCGTGGGTCATGAACTTCCACTGAGAACTTCTTCTCTCGGAAATACAGGTTCTCCAACTGCCTCCATTGGAAGATCTGGACAGAACACAGTGTAGTTTAAGTTCAGGAGTGACTGGTTCCCGGGGATGCGCTCCCTGCTCTGGCTGCTGAACTTTCTGGACACTTGGCAGTTTCCGTATCAAGGCAGAGAGCAGTCAGTTGTTGGTGCCTTCTCCTCCTCTGCTTCTTGCTGGAGATACACAGGATCCCAGAAACACACACAGACACGCACACACACAGCAGCAGCAGGAGGAGCAGCCGCTCTCCAATCCACAACCAGGCAAAGCCGGGTGTGGGTTTTCCTGCAGGTCTCTTTTAAGCCGAAACAAAACAAACTCTTTTCAAGTCCTTCCCTTTTGCTTTGCCTTTGTTGAATCCTTCAAGAGAGTGCCCAGCTCTGCTGACTTCTCCCTCCCAGAAAGAGGGGGCGGGGAGGGGCGATGATGAGCCTGGGAGGAGGGAGGGAGGTGGAGAAGGAGGAGGGAGGAGAGAGGGAGGTGGTGGAGGAGGAGGGTGGAGGCAGGAGGGAAGCGCTCTCAGAAGCGAGCAGTAGCCATTTGCGTGGAGTGCTGAACTGAGCTTCCTCCCTCTAGTGCTGAAATGGGAAGGCGTTCAAATCCCAACCTCCCATCAGGACTCCACTTCCTGCCCACTAATGCAAGCGCCAAGGGCGGAGGCTGTGGGGAGGGCAGTCAGGGGCAGGCGGCTGGGGATCTCAGTCTTGGCCAGTCCTTTCTTCCTTCTGTGACACTTGCACAAGCACACAGAAGCGCATGCAAGCACACTCACTCTCTCTCACACACACACCACACACATAAATCCAGAGATCCTGGGGAGCCAGGAGCCCCCTTCTGAATCATGAAGCTGACTGCAGCATTGGAAAGCAAGGAGGGCTGCTGCAGGAGGAATCCCTGGAGAAGCAGGGAGCTTTTCACTAAAGGAAAATGAAAATTGCTTAGTGGTGTGTGTGTGTGTAGGGGGAGCCCTGAAGGCTTCTGCCCACACACGTCTGTCATATAGGACACTGGGCTTCCTCCAAACACTCAGAGCATGAGTTTATCCTACTGAAGGCAGGCAGAGCACATACTTTGCTCTGGTCTCACTTTTAAGGTCTCATTCTAGAATCTGAGCCCTCTGACTTGAAGCTCTGGCACATCACTACCTTAAAGATACAAGCCAGAGCCATTTCCTGGCATCCCATCAACAATCCCTACACCCTAAACCCAGCATGCTGACTGCAGCAAGGCACTGCTTGGGCACCCCAGATGTCACACTAGGCCTGAGTTAAAAACAAGCAAACAACAATAACAAAACAGAATGATTGCATTCTGTTCTCATCAGAATCTAACTTTGGGACTTTTCAATTATTTTGCCAGTGTGAGTTATAAATGTTATTTTCTGTTTAAGGGTCAAATCTAGGCAGGTGGAGGCTATTTCAAGAAAAGCCATTGACCCAAAGCTGCTGGTTCAGATGACTTTGCGTTGTGCCACAGACCGAATGCATGCAAATGGGAGTCTCAGGCTCCCGTCCCACATCCTGTGCTGGAAATCCTTCCATGGATTCCCCAGCTTCCTCTCTGCAAACCCTACCCCCAAGGGTCAGGCATTTATAGATTTCTCACTTGAACCTTGCCACAGGCATACAAACAACCCAACTAACAGGTGCCATGAACTGCCCCCTACCCCCACTGCCTCCATTTCCAACCTGCTAGACCTCAGGCAAGCTATAGCATCTCACTTTTCCCACCTGTAGGAACCTGCCAACAGCAGCTCCCCTAAGAGACCTGTGTAGTGGCAGATCCTTGGCATAGCGCTGGCACAAAGCAAAGCCCCCAGACTTGGATCTCACTGTGATTCCCAAGCATTCTTCCTTCTCCCAAATCTTAACAAATCAGAGTGAATAAGCTCCAGAACAACCGGAATAACTTTTATTAAATTTCCTAACTCAAACCTTGACTTCGGGGCTTCAAAAAATAAATTAGATTATTTGTATGCGTGAAATCTCTAAGGATAAAGAATTACTTTCCCAGTCCTCTCTCCCTCTCTTCATCTCTCTCCCTCCCCACCGCTACTGATTGCCCAGTTGCTAACACAGGGCTGTTCTGTATTCCCTTCCGTCTTCCCACATACACACAGACACAGTTACCCCACAACTGCTGGAGGAACAAAATGTGCACAGGAGGCAGCTGGACCCTGACAGGGGGTTCTGGGTCTCTACCCTGCATCCAGACACAGTAGCTCCTTGGACAAGCCCCGGCTCCATAAGTAGGTGATCTAAGAGCTCTTGGACCAGAGGGCCCTGGTCTAACACTGCTATCGCTGTGCTGACATTTCTGCTAGATCAAGGAACTGCTTAGAGCCTCTCGTCTTGGTGGGCTCTAGCCTGGGCTGGGCAGGACAGTGGATGCTCCAGCTCCCCACGAGGAGGACGGGAAACCCAAGCTGGTGTGTGTTTGCTCAGACAAAAGCCCAGCTGTATGTTTCATTGGAAGCTCTCCTTTTGCCTGATGAAGAACTGCAGAGCAGAATGCTCAGAAGGCTTGGTTCCCTGGCAATCCCCCTCCATCACCCCCGCCCCAAACCCTGGGCTCTGAGCCTTTGCTTTGAGTGATCCCTGATGCTGCCTGGTGTGCAGAACCTGGCATTTGCCAGAGATCCCAACAGAACCATCTGCTGCAGCTCCTCTGTCCACCATGGCTGGGCCTGCCTGTGGAAGGCTTCTCTTCATGGCAGTCAACACTGGGCTCCTGGTTCTAGGCACCCTTTTCTGGTGCTGTTCTGTCTGTAGATGTTTTGGTCACAGGGGACAGAATGCAGGATTCTCCTTCATGCCTGTGGTAAGCATGACTGGTTCTGATTTGTTTTGCAAGTGAAATACTGGGGAGGGAGTGTGAGGGTAAGGAGGAGACATGGGCAGGGGTTTGGCGGGCCAAATGGCATTGGGTAGTAGGAACCCAAGAAGCAGGTGCACATGTGAGGGCACTGCCTCAGCAAAAGAAGGCAGAGAGAGGTTGCTGAGGAGCTAGACACTCCAGGGCAGGAGTTAAAAGGCAGCAGGCACAGAGAGGGTGGTGGCAGCTGAGGCTGGCCACCAATGCCAGGAGCTACTTGCTCGAATGAGTTGTGTTCCTTATAGGGGTCTGGGGCATTCCTGCTCAAATCACCCTGTGCTCTAGAGCTTAGTAGCTTTGCTTGCTCAACACAGGACTGGCACAGCAGGAGCAACAAGTACCAAACAAAGCAGAGATGTCTGAGCTTGCCATCCGCTCATATGTGAGGTACAGTGAGCTCTGTGCAGATTTTGGGGGCCTCTGACTGTGCCACTTCAGAGGAACCTCCCTGACTTGTGGTGGTGCACAAAGGCAGCTGTCATGACCGCCTAACACTGTTACTATGGAAAGACACGGCAGATGCGAAGATGCCTCTCATCACGACTGGCCAGGTTCCCCGGGGCTGGTCTATGACTGACAGCCAGTTCTATCCAAAGAGCAAGTTAAAACCTAGAATATGCATTCAAACAATAATCAAAGAGTCTATTAGTTGCTTCCTATTAAATAAAGGTCTTTCTAGTACACTTCTTTTTCGAAGTCTCTAAAAAAGTACCTCAAACACTATTTCCTTGACCAGTCCACATTTCCAAGAAGAGAGAGAGAAATTCTCTTCTTGGGGAGGGGGGTGGTAAGCCCAGGGAAATGAAGGAAAACTGCCTTAGGCCACACAGCAAGTTGGTGAAAGAACCAGAAATAGAAGTCAAGGACACCTGGGTCATTACTCCCACCTCTAACTATGCTGCTTTCCCCACCAATTAATGGGAACAGCTCTTAGTCACTAATGGGTGGTTAACTCTGCAAGAGGAATGACTTCTAATAAATGAGCAACCATGTTAACTGCAAGCAGGAAGTAGAAAACTGATTCGTTTTGGTCCTTCACAGTGATGATGCTTTTTTTTTTCACCCTGTCAACAATACAAAAGCATTGCTGTCTTAGACACCTGGTTGCTACACTTCATCTGCACATCAATGCCTCAGAATCTGGCAGCTTTCAGCCCAGGACTAAAAACCAACACTAATTGTAGTGGAAGACAGTCTGAACCATCTGGGCATGCACCGAAAACAGAAACTTGAAGAGACCACCAGGAAGTGGTTTCCTGGAGGTGGTGTCCATCACTACCACGGACGGGGACTCTCCTGCCCTAGATGTGGCTTCTTAGTTTCCAGACCGCAACTTGCTGTGACGGCCAGTGCGATCACAGGTCCTTCTCTTCCCTTTGCTGGGCTCCATGACCTCATGCCTCAAACAAGAGATGGGAATCATTAATCCAGGGAGAGTAAACCAGAGTGGCTAATAAATGCTGCCTTCATGCCCTGAGTGTAACAGGGTACACTATAAATCCTTAATGAGCAGGGGCCTGGGTCAGGCTGGTTCCTATTAGCGTGTCTGCTGGATTCCCACATCCTGTGTACGGCTGAAGGCCCGGGCAGAGGAAGGGTCCCTGGCTCCACAGGACTTCCTCCCTCGCCAGCACCAGCATTTAGTGTGCACTTACTGAAGCATGGGGAGAGGTGGGAGAACTCTCAGGATGATGTGGAAATGAAGGCCTGGGAGGAAACTCAGGCTGTTGGTTCTGATTCTTGACTAGGGCTTCAGGGAGCCTTGTCTTCCTCCTGTTGCTGAGGCTGAGTTGCTCAGCCTCTTAATGAGTAACTTCCTGCTCCCTCCAGAGGGGCCATTATATAGAATCACTGCAGCCATCTGGTCTACCTCCTCCCTTTACAGATAAAGCAACCTCAGTGGGGGGAAGGTTAAAGGACTGGCAGAAGTTAAATAAGTAATTGATGTCAGGACCCAGGCCTTATGACTTGTGTCCTGGTCTTTGTCTCATACACCATGCAGCTCTGACAATGAAGGAGAACAAAGCTGCTTCAAGATTTTGGGGTTGTTTTCAAGCTTCTGGGTAAATAAGTGGTCACTTTGGCCACTGATCAGGCTCTTGGCAGCCTAAATGATGCTGTCTGCTATCTAAAGGCCAGCAAAGG